TACATCTGTATCTTTGGGGTAAATACCCAGTAGTGCAATTGCAGGGTCATAGGGAAGCTCTATTTTTAATTTCTTGAGGAATCTCCACACTGCTCTCCCTTCTAAGCACTTATGTGTCGCTTGGCCCCCGTCTACATTGCACAGGACTGGGAAGGAGTTGCTCCCCAAGGGATCTCTTCTCTGGATGACACTCCCTTTTCCATAATACTCTTTTCTCTTCCATCAGGTTCTGCTGTGCCTCTCCACAACCCCCCCCGGGCTCAAGATTTCCAAAATTTGTTGAGGAAGACATGCAGGTAAAATGGGAACAGAAATTCTATCATAGTTGCTATGCTTTTTGTTTTTGTTAAAGAACGATTATTCTGGTTCACTTATAATGCAATAAGGAGCAGCTCCTACTTAAAAAGGGGGGGGGGGCGGTTTCCAGTGGTGAAGTCCCAAAAGAGATAAACACAAACATTCAAGTTTCTTTTGTTCTTTAACTATGAATACTGCTTAACTCCTCTGAGTGTCAGCTGCCTTTTACATTTAAAAAAAAAATGCCCCGTACTAAAGTGGTCAGAAAAACAAATTTCATGGACTGTGAGGAAAGCATATCATACCATGGGTTTTTATCACACTGGGTTTTATCTTTATATCTTGTGAAGATTTAAGATTGAAAGCTCAGGTCAAACAGGACTGAACCTGGTGGGTTAAAGTGTCCAGCACCTTCTGTAGGGGGACAGGACTGTGGCAGCCCCTACCCACTGCCAGCATATCTGCATAAAGATAAAAATACCTCAAACCTCAAGGACACCTTTAAAGGGAGTAGTGAGAAAAAAAAAAAAAAAAAGGAGTAGTGAGGGTGGAGTGGATGTCTGAGGGGTAAAGGAAGGGTCTAATGAAGGGAAAAGGGCGTGGAAGAGTTGACCTCAAGGGCAGGAATCCAGTTTTTAAACACTCGCTATAAGGCAAATTCTGTTTTGTCCAAATCACGTCGAAGGTTGGGTTCTCCCAGGAGTAGACCGTGGCATGGAGATGAGGATGTTTACTGAGGAGTCACCTGGCATCACTGTCTGTGTGAAGGAGGCACAGAAGCAGGACTGACTAAAAAGAATCTGGGAACATGGCAGTCATGTCAGCCTCTGCCCACACCAGGGGATCTCTGGGCCTCAACCAGGCTGTGAGGGTTGTGCTGTTATTGGGCCCAGATGGCTGGGCTGTTTCTTCCTCAGTCACTGGATGCGGGACAGCCAGGAAGGTGGTGATGTTGGGCCAGGCGGCATTTGGCAGCTGAGGCAATGGCTGAAGGACCAGAGCACCAATAGTGTCTGTCGATGGCCACCACTCCCAGCAGCTGGCTCAACAAGTCCTTTCTGGAAGAGCCACTGGGGCAGAGCATTTCCGAGGCCCCCAGGTAGTTTATCTGAATCACCTCACAGAGATCCAGCCGAGAATGGTGGCCTCGGCTAGCCTAATCCCCCACTGCTATGGTCTCAAAGAGATGGTGTGATCGCCCAAAGTCACGTGGCAGTCACTTGCACCGCTTATCCTATGACAGAGATCTAAAGTCTCCTATACCAAGGCTCTTTCCACAAGGCCCTATGAACATCAGACAGGATGTGGAGGAAACAAAAGTTCCCAATTTATTTTTCTTGAGAGTCTTCTTGGCCCTTTTAATTTTAATGCAGGGGAAAGAATTCAGTCAGACTGAACACCAATTGAGTCCTGCAGTGAGGCAAGCCACTCGCAAGAGACTGTACTCAGGTTAAATACTGATTTTTGAATATCAACAAAGGCCACAGTCATTCCATAATCCTAAGAACTGGATAAACTAACTTGCTCACTTCTAGTATCTACAGAGCACCAGGGCCACATCGAGAACTTAGCTTATTCTCGATTTCCTTGCAGGTCACCTTAAAGTAACTCCTTTCTTTTTTCCAGAAGCTGTATAACTGACCCTCTTCCAGCCATGGTACCTGTCCATGGCCACTTCTATCTCCCCAGTATTAAGTTTTGTGGATTAAGCCTGCAGAGCATAAAATGATGAAAATCAGATCCAACCTCATCATTTTCTTACCCAAAAGGGCATGCCTTATTTGTTGATTAATTTGGTATTATCAAGTAGAAGGAGATGCTTTGGTCACATCTTTTCATATGTATTCCACTGTTTATGAGTGTTAAATGTCCTTATTTCCTATTTACCTCAGCCTCTTAACTATTATGTCTCCTACCTAGGTTTTCAAACCATTTTCAGGCCGAGAGCTAGCTGCAGGAACACAGCAGGCAAGAGATTACTCTAGTTCTTTGTGCTTGCTGGAACTATATAAATAAAAATAAACTATGCTTTTTGGCAATAGAAAATGATGCATTTGTTACCTCATTTTGTCCATATCCTATCATCTATAGGTTTAGTCTTTTTTTTAAAGCAAAGTCTATTGATTGCCCCTTCACTGGAACACTTAAGTAAGAATCTCATTCCTTCTCTCATTCATTTACCTATTCATTTATTTTAAGTTGGCCTGAACTTATGGGAGCCCAAAATTTTGAGTGAAAAGTTGGCCTCAAGCCTACAGCAAGCCTTTAGGGAGAGAATGTTCAAACAGTATTCCAAGAAACTACATGAAATTGTCTGTCATAAGGGGCTGCCATAATTTACTCACTGTTAAATTTATTTTTGCATTGGACTGGAGAGTAGAAGTGAAAATGAGCAAGGTGGAATACATTACAGATGAATCTATAACCTTTGGCTGACCGCTTCTATTAGAACACTGATACAGAAAACCAGGGAGATGGGTCTCTGGGTAACCATGCATATCTAGGCAGGAAAGAGCAGGTAACCGGCTTCTGTCCCCAACTTACCTGCTCAAGCATCAGCTCTCTTAACCGTGCAATTTTCTCTCCATCTTCAGGGTGACTTAAGATATATTCTTTGACAAAAAATGCCTAGAAAGAGAATGGAGAGTCAGTTTACTTCAGGACAGTTAAAAAGTGAGAGACACAGCCGCTTCTAAAGGCCTGGCATCTTGGAAGAAACACCACTGTCAACCACATTTGTAGGGCAGGAGGAACGACTCCTACTGTGGGCAGCTGGTCAGAAAGGGAATACAAGGAAAGGATTGTTTAAGGGAGAGCAGCAATTGTGTAAATAAGTATCTGTGGTAAAGCAAGCAAACAGCAAATCCAAATCAATGAGCATTATATCCTAAAATAAAGTGCTTTAAGATTCAGTGTGACAAAAATGGTGGCCTCTCACCTTCCAGGCTGTTGGGGCTTTCTGTTTAAAACCACAAGGGCAGATGAAAAGTCTGTTTAAAGTATCTTCTAAACAAGATCAGACATGTCTATGCCTGTGAACCTCCTTGGTCAGGGAAATGGTTTAAGGTTGACATTTATTAAGTAATTTTTATAACCTGATCACTTTATTTATCCAAGAACACACACACACACACACACACACACACACACACACACACACACACTATCCTCAAAATACCACATATCGGAAAATGGTGTTAACTAAGTGTGCATCGCAAATAACTGTTTCCTCTATTTAACCAAGAACTCTGTGTCAATTGTAACCCTTTTTAGCATGGGGATTTGTGTATTTATTTTGAAAAAAGACTTCTGAGGCCCTAAGAAATCAATTTAAAAACTTTCAAACAACAATACCTAATCCTTACCTCTTGATACCTGGAAACTCCACCATTAACCGCAGCATCTATAACTCCATTCAGGCACATGGTCAAGGGATTAATATTCTGCATCTGTCTTGTCTGACACTGACTAATCAGAGTCTTCAGCTGCTGATTCTTATTTTCCAACACTTCAATTGCATTTTCCAGAGGACTCATTTCTACCTGAGAAGCAAATGCACATAAACATATTTTGGATTTTGTGACATTTAAGAAGAAAGTAGATTATCCGTGCTCTGAATTATCTGTGCTCGCCCTTGGCTCCAATCAGTATCTCCACCAGGGGCCATACAGTAGACTAGACAAGGATGTGGAAGACAAATCAGCTGTTCATTTAAAGGTCTGGAAAGTGAAGGTGATTATACTGAGTGGTTGAAACGTGGCAGGGATAATCAACAACCATCAACCCTATATTAGCACTGCAAGAAGCCATGTAATCCTTAAAAGAAAATCCGAGGATCTCATGTCTGTTAAAACTCATTTTTCTTTTCTTTTGAAGGACTAAATATTCAGGGGCCCTGCATATTATTATCACCTTTTTAGTTGCTTACTTAATGCAGAGCATCACAGGAGATACAAAGATGCATTTACAAATCCTCTGATGTCAAGGAGTTTCAGCCCAGTTGGAAAGATGGGACATATGCCCATATGGACCCCATATGCACATATAACAGCACCATAAGGTAGCACAGGATGGTACTCGGTTGGGAGTTATGGAAAATAAGATAATCGTATATGCTGTAGGATCTATTTGTTGAAGGAGAGCCAAACAGAATTATAATGATTTAAAAATTCTAGGTTATATGGGGAACCTAAATGTGAAAATGATGAAAGTGTTCTTCAAATGTTGAACATTGTGGCCATTACTGTCATTGACATTCTCTTTGAAGAGAAGGTCTGCCAAGTTCTTAGCTGTAAAGAATTCAAGCTTACAATAAGCACATTTAAATATTGGTTTTTTCCAGTTAAGGAAACAAATTAGATTTTTAAAGGTCACTTACATCATCTTCAAACAACACTGAAAAGTACTAGACTAATTTGACTATGTCAAAATTAAGATTATACATTCATTAGGAGGCATTATGAAGAGAAGGAAAGATAAGCAAAAAAGGAGAAGATATTTATAACATATAAAACCATCAAAGAGCCTATGTCCAGAATATATAATGAACTCTCAAAAACAAGATGGCAAATGGCAAATGACCCAGTAAAAAAATGAGCAAAGTCTCTACATGGACACTTTATAAAGGAAGAAATCCAAATGGTCAGTAAATACATGAAAAGGTGTGGAACCTCACTTGTGATCAACATGAAAAACACCACCACAGTAATCAAAACATCTACATGGATACTTTACAAAGGAAGAAATCCAAATGGCCAGTAAATACATAAAAAGGTGTGGAACCTTACTTGTGATCAACAACATAAAAAATGATACCACAGTAATATACTACTAAACACTCACTAAATGACAAAAAAAAAAATAGGACAACAGCAAATGATGGTGAGAATGTGTTACTAGACTCTCTCAATTTTGGCTGTTGGTAGTTCAAATCGTTTCAATCACTTTGGAAAACAGTCTGGCATTATCTACTAAAGTTAATGATTTCTTTACTATATTTCATGGTCCTACATGCAGTTCTATGTATGCCTATCTCTGGAAAAAAAAGTGGAGTAGGAGATGTATGTAGATGTGTGTGAAGAAAATGTGTGTACAAAAATGGTCATAAATGTCTCAAAAATCCCTGTCTGTTGATAAGAGAATGCATAAATATATCATGGTATGTTCACACAATGGAATAGCACCCAGCAATGCAAACAAACTTCAGTCACAGGTAATAACATGGACTAACATTCAAATAATACTGAGTGACAGAACCAAATCAGAATATACAGACTATGATACTGTTACATAAAGTTTGGAATCACGCAAAACTAAATTGACTTGTTTTAGAGAAACAAACTTAGAGGATCAACCAAGAAAGGGAATGGATACCATAAAAGTGAGGACAGTGGTGATGTAAGAGAAAGGGAGCGAGTTGTCACTAGAAAGGGGTACATGAAAAGCCTCTAGGGTGCTAGTAGCAATGTTCCCTGACTGAGCGCTGGCAAGTGGGTATTTATTTGTGACAATAAACATTTGTTTTATAAGCACAAAAGCTGAACCAGGAAGTAAAAGGCTGAGGACTCGGATGGACTGAAAGTTAAAAAGATATCTTAGAAAGCAGGACAGTGGTTGGCAGGGCTGGGGAGGAGGAAGAGGGGAAACGTTCAGTGGGTATAGAATTTTCGTTTTGTGAGATGAAACTGATCTGTTGCATAAGAATGCACACATAGTTAACTCTGTTGTACTGTACACTTAAAAATAATTAAGACGGAAAATTTTATATGTGTTTTGGCCAATGGTAAAAAAAAAACATGCTCATCTTTATAAATTCAAATGCTACTAATATGAAAAAAATTTAAAAAGAAAACAAAATGGGAGAATAGTCCAAGATGGCAGAGAAGGAGACCTTAATTTCCTCTGGTCCCAGGGATTCAGCTAGTTATCTATCAAATCACTCTGAACACCTGTGAACTCAACCGGAGATCTAAGAAAAGAATTGCTGCAATTCTACAAATAGAAAAGCGACCACTTTCTGCAAGGTAGGAGGTGCTGAGAAGCAAATCTGAGGGGATATTTTGGAAGATAAACTGGGGGAGGGGAAGCCTATGGAGCTACTGGAAAGTGACATAGCAGGCGAGCACAAAATCAGAACTTTAAGTCTGCTATGGTGAAGGACGTCTCTGCCTGAAAGCAGGGCAAAATCCTGTGAAGGAGAGTGTGGTCTCAGGATCCCCGGAGTCAAAGGAAGATCGGGTGACCAGTGGAGCAGAGCTCCCAGGCATCGGAGCAGGGAAGCCGGCTGTAGTTAGCAAGCCTTGGAGTGGGCTATGAGCTTGGTGCTGCCATATACCGCAAACAGCAGCACAGTCTGGTGACTACTCTCTGAGCAGGGGCCCAGCAAGCAGCAGAGCTGTGGTAAGAACCCCCTTCCTCCCCTGGGGAGGAGTGGTGCAAGTATGTATCGAAGGAGCCTGCGGGGTTTGCAGACTCAAAAAGGGGTCACACACCTGAGATCGAAACACTCAGTCACAGGTTGGGTGAGCACGGAGTGTGCGTGGAGACCAGGGGGACAGGAGTGACTGACTGCTTTTCCCCGAAAGTGCACTGCTGAATGGGACCCTGAGCTTTGGGTTCTGGCACTGGAGATTGGGAAGTCGCCATTTTCATTCTCATCCTCTTAAGCCAGCACAAAAAGCCTTCAGGGAACAAAAGCCACTTTGAGAAGTCTGGAACCACTTACTTAGCCTGGCCACTGACAAGGGTGGTATAATACTGCCCAGGGAAAAGAGACCTGAGAATCAGCACAACAGGCCCCTCCCCCAGAAGGGGCTAAGACCAAGTTTACTGATCACAGAGAACTGCAAAACTACAGTGGTAGGGGAAAACTGTATATAGAATTCATGGTATTTTCCCCATGATTCTTTACTATTTCAATTTTAATTTTTTTCTCCTTCCTTTTTCCATTAATTTCCTACTTTATCAACTCCCTTTAAAAAATCTTTTTAAATTTTCATTTTCAGAGTTACATTCTGTACTTTTATTGCATTTAATTTTCTTTTTGTATATGTATGTTTTTCTTTCTTTACAATTTTGAGATGCAGTTTCTTCTAACAAACAGACCAAAATACACTAAGGATATAGTGTATTGCTCTGTTCTGTTCACTTGTCTGATTATATTCTCTTTAAAAAAAAAAAAAAAGTTATTATTTTATCTTTTTTGATTTCAGCTCTCTTCTGATTAGTTTAGTGTCTAATTCTCTGGGGTTGTTGCTGCCATTTTAGTATTTTGTTCTCTTGTTCATCTATTCTTCTCTGGACAGAATAACAAGATGGAAAAACTCACCTCAACAAAGAGAACAAGAGGCAGTACTGACTGCCAGGGACCTACTCAGTATGGATATAAGTAAGATGTCAGAACTAGAGTTCAGAATAACAGCTACAAAGATTCTAGCTGGTCTTGAAAAAAGCATAGAAGACACTAGAGAATCCCTTTCTAGAGAAATAAAATAACTAAAATCTAACCAAGTCAAAATCAAAAAGGCTATTAATGAGAGGCAATAAAAAATGGAGCCACTAACTAGGATAAATGAAGCAGAAGACAGAATTAGTGATATAGAAGACAAAATTATGGATAATAAAGAAGCTGAAAAAAGATAACTACTAGATCATGAGGGGAGAATTCGAGAGATAAGTGATACAATAAACTCAAACTATATTAGAATAATTGGGATGCCAGAAGAAGAGGAAAGTGGAGGGTGGGGTGGGCAGAAGGTATACTAGAGCAAATTATAGTGGAGGACTTCCTTATTTTGGGGAAGGAAACAGGCATTCAAGTCCAGGAGGCACAGAGAACCCCCTTCAAAATCAATAAAAATAGGTCAACATCCCACCATATAATAGGGAAACTTGCAAATCTTAAAGACAAAGAGAAAAATCCTGGAAGCAGCTCAGGACAAGAGGTCTGTAACTTACAAGGATAGAAACATTAGGCTGGCAGCAGACCTGTCCACAGAGATGTGGCAGGCCAGAAAGGACTGGAATGATATATACAGGGTGCTAAATGAGGAAAATATGCAGCCAAGAAAACTTTATTCAGCTACATTGTCATTCAAAAGAGAAGGAGAGATAAAAAGTTTCCAGGACAAATAGAAACTAAAAGAATTTGTGATCACCAAACCAGCCCTGTAAGAAATATTAAAAGGTAACCTTTAAGTGAAGAGAGAGCCCTAAAGTAACATAGACCAGAAAGGAACAGAGACAATATATACAGAAACAGTGACTCTGTAAAGTAATACAAAGGCACTAAATTCGTATCTTTCGGTAGTTACTCTGAATGTAAATGACCTAAATGCCCCAACCAAAAGACAAAGGGTACCAGATTGGATAAAAAAGCAAGAACCATCACTATGCTATCTGCAAGAGACTCATTTTAGACCCAAAGACACCTCCAGATTGAAAGTGAGGGGGTTGAAAACCATTTACCATGCTAATGGACATCAAAAGAAAGCTGGGGTGGCAATCCTTATATCAGACAAATTAGACTTTAAACCAAAGACTG